CGATGGCCTTAAACCTACTAGCGATGGCCTCCACCATAGTAGCGATGACCTTAAACCTACTAGCGATGGCCTCCACCATAGTAGCGATGGCCTTAAACCTGCTATAGCGATGGCCTCCACCATAGTAGCTCCGCTTGACCGGCTCTGGGGCCACAAGCTCGGTATAGTTCACTGTGCCACTGCCATCCACATCGATCTCGTGCATCAAGCGCCTTCCAGATTGGCGCTCTGCGAAGTCTTGATGCAGCAAGAGACACATGTTATTAAGAAATTGATTCTCTTCAACACCACTCTTTTCTTGCTGGTGGGGATCCTCACGTTGACATCTCCAGCTGCACTTGCAGGAAGAAAGATTTGTGACCCCCGTATTATTGATACTTCGGACAGGGCAAACTCCCAAACCAACATATGGTGGTTCAAGAAACTGGCGGTGTGATTAGGTACTACCGATAAAATTCCGCCAGGTCGAAAATGAAGGGTACTACTACGACATATCTCAGAACAAATGAAACAAATCCTAGCTTAGCTGCGCTTTGCTCTTGGCTTGACCGCATCAGACAGCCCAACAAGCCTATCGGTCCACACCGATTGGGCCTCATCTCCACTCTGATGGGTTCCTCGACTTGCAAGTCAATGAGCGCCTCATCGATCTCCTCAACCTCGATGCCGGGCACATGAACTACGGTGGGGCTGCTGAGAGCAAGTCACCTTTTGGGTGATGGGGGGGGGCTGCAAGTGGGTGATGCAGTAACATATGACAAGGTTGCTCCCAAAAAAAGTTTGTTGGGAGTTGCTCTCAAGCAGCCAGCCTTGGTCCTAAAGAAGATAACGTCAATAATTCACCAAGCATCGTTGTGGGCTAGATTCGATGATATGTGCAACTACTTCGGGAAAACACGTGTGTATACACAGGGGCGCCGAAAGTTGCGCTTCTTAACTTCTAAAAAAAAATCAAGCCCTTTTCCCCTTGGAATCCTACGTGCAACATGTCGACACCTAAGTTGCGGTCAGATTTCCACACCTGAAAGCATTATAAAAATACTCTAAATCTAAACAGGTGTGGAAATCTGACCGTGCTGTACCTGCCAAGCAAAAAGGACGCGTCAATCCGATCCGCTGTAGACCACAAGTGTCATGTTGGAACAGAGTAAGAAATAAGAAACGTAAACTTTAGGGCTTTTGAACTATATAATAAGAATAATAATAAGAATAATAATAGTATATACAGTATATACCTTGTATAAAACCTGTCGTAGATCCATGGCGAAAGAGCTGAACCTGGGGAGATACAGTCGTAGTAGCTCATGATGGTCATCGTCGAGTTATCGTCATGCAGATTGTAAGCCTCACAAACGAAAACTGCAAATCCCTTTTGAGTCCAAGAATATCATCCATGGTCAGGTCAGGCGACATCCTCTTTTTGCGGAGAGTTTCCCTCCTCAAGCGCTGAGCCTGTTGCTCTTCTCAGGCGCTTCAAGACGTTCTGTCGCCTTCGTTCGTTCTGGTCTTTCTTGCGCTGCCGCAAAAATTTCAGACGTTCCTTCTCTGCCAGTTGTTCCTGCTTCCGCAGCACATGGCACCAGCGGAGTAGTAGCTCTCGCACAGCTGACAATTTGTCGATCTTAGGTCGTTGGCTCAAAGGCCGCCGCTGGGGAGGGTCTTTGTCGTGCAAAGCCATATGTTGCCGTTCCCAACAAAGGTGTGGATGTTCCTTCAAGCGCCGTGGCCAGTGTCGATTCTTATCGTGCATGGCCATATGCTCAATCTCCCAAAAATTCAGCTGTCTCTTGCGTATTTCAGCATTGGAATCAAACCACCTTTCGAGCGGAATTGCACTGCGGCCAGACCACCACTACTCTGCCACAGCATTATCAGTCTGAAGGCGCTTCCACAAATCTTTCAAATCTACAGGACCATAGTGCCAAACCACGCTCCCTTGTCCGATCCCTCCCGTTTGTCTCACACATTCGCGGAAGGACGCCATGCAACTGTGGAGCTTCGCCAGCTCTCACACACTACGGACCGTGGGGGACCTCACCTTCATGCGGGTTCCAAGAAAGAAACCGTTTTTCTGGCATGACTCAAAACTCCTCAATGCCAAGTCACTATATCTTACGCTTATAGTATAGTTTGTGGTTTATCTCAATAAAACCCACGCCCTCGCTCACTTGCACCCGTATGAAGAGCACCCTTTGTATTCTGGCTACAAAGTCTTGGTTCGCCATACCACATAGGATACGGAATGTATACTAGGGGCTCCTGGCATCGCTACTAGGAGCAGGGACGCTACTAGGGGCTCCTGGCCTTACTAGTAGGAACAAGAAGCCAACACAGCAACCCACTTATCTACTTCTTGAACCCCGAAGGCCCAAAGGTGCATCCTCCCTTTTTCACAAAGAAACAGGCTTGGTACCGTACGTTACCGTAAGGCTTAAGTGAGTAGCCATGCCATATCCATCCTAAAACCAACAGGGCTGCCTTGTGAGGTTCCCCGCCGAGAGCGTCCCCGAGTTGTCGTCATCCAAGGATAAGAAGATCTCCCGCAGCTTCTCAATGGTGTCATCGGAGATCTTGCAAGGAGAATGCTCTCACTATGAAGACCGCTGGCCAATCCAGACACATTCCTGTTGATGGGGAAAGTATTCTGAGTCACTCATTTCCTCTTCTGTGCCTTGCACGAAACACAAAAGAGAAACATGCAAGCAAACGCTCCAATGCCCATGCATCCCTTCGGCTGCGGCGCCTGTCGTGCAATCACCTGCAAGGCCACCTTCTTCAACCGGCTTTGTGCCACCTTGAGGAGAGTGGAGTGGCTGTGAGGTGCGCTTGGCGCACCAGTTAACACACGTCCGATGCCGAACGACTTTGAGTCCCATATCAGCAATCTCCCACCGGTGTGATTTTGATAAGGACACTAGGCCACAATAAAGAGGCCCGGTTCGTGAAAGTGAAACACTACTCGATCAACGATGCAAGCAGTAGCTCGGGATGTGCTAAGGAAGCGGCAAAGGTGCGCATCTGTGCAAGGTTTCCTTCCTTGGGATCACCCAGTGGATCAACTCGCAGTTTGCTTTTGCAGAGACGTTCAGGCGATCTTTAAGCCAGAATCTGTGTTTTTGAGAGCCCAAAGCCCTGCATGATGAAGAGTGCATCAAGCCCCAAGCAAAGGAATGCATCCTCCAGCTTCACAGGGTCTTCATCGTCTTTTACTTTGGATCCCTTTAGCTGAGTCAACTTCCAAAACAATCTGCTAGCATCCAGAAACAAGAACAAGGACAGGAAAGAAAGAAACACATACCCCAGGGTTCCATCGAGACTATCTCACTGCCGCCGTGGCATGGTGTGGATGGTGGCGCCCAATGCATTGTTTAAGAGGATAGCTCTGAAGCCCAAGTGGCCAGCTAGAAGCTGAAACTGTCTCCACACAGGTCCATGTTGAAATCGGGGAGATACTTTCTAACACAATCTCCTGAGTCTCTTGCAACCAAGCTAGTGTGACATGTTCAGCAGCTTCGGCTTCTGTGACAGGTGGAGCTCCTGACCATTCCTAGGGCACCCAACGTCCACCTTGGTGTCCTGCGGGATCACCTGGTCTCAGTCTCAGTGTTTCATGCATGTGCAAATGGCTCGGCGATGGCCTCCAACCTAAGAGCGATGGCCTCGAACCTAAGAGCAATGGTCTCCACACCAGAAAATCGAAGATAGGCCAATGCACTCAGGCTGATGGTGTCACATGGTGTCACTACGTCCGCTGTTACATCAAGAAAGCCCTTACTGCCGCCTCTTGCCGGAACCAGTGTGAGGCCAGGACCTGTGCGCTTCTGGAGTTGGATCGGTTCTGTAGGACCTTTTTCCAGCATCCAATGAAACATCCTGAAACATCTCAGTTGCATTCAGCGGTGAGAAGGAACACACCTGCTTCTTTAATCGGGAAGGCGTTTTCAATGCCAAAATATGCCAAAATATTCACAGCCTCGGCTGAGTGAGGCCGCGAGTCGACGTCCTTGGTCAACATCTGCGTGACCAGCCTGAGGTGCCCATGCCATGGGATGCCATGCTGTTCGTGAGAGTGTCATGCCCAGGTCATTCTTGGGCAAATCCACACCTTCTGGTCACTCGAGGTCTGGATTCAGAGTTTACCGTTTTGAGAACATGTTTAATCTGTTTAATGGCCTGGTTTGTGGGCTCAACTGCTGGAAAAAGGCAGGAACTGCCTTTACAAAGCTCCAGGTGCTCGCGGGCCTGGCCTACTCGGAGAAAATGCAAACCATATCAAACCATCACATACTGGAGACAATCCGTTGCACCAAGGATAGTTCTTCAGCTCTCCCGCAATACCCCGACACCATGCGACTCCCAGCAAGCTGGGGCAATCTGAGGCACCCAGCTCTTTGCCCACCGCAGAGACACGCTTCCAAGCCTTCTCCGGGGTGAAGGACCACTTCCTAAGAGAGCAGTTTCTTCAATGGGAGGGTGTGAGATGGCCAGGAGTATATGAGGAAAGTGGAACGTGGGTGGCAGGAAGTCCAAGGGGCAAACTTCTTTGCAGCTTTCAGCGGCGGTGGGAAGAAAGAAATATATACTGCCAAATCAAAATCAACCACATGCCGCACTGCTGGCTCAGGTTTCTCAAGGTTTCTAAGCTCCTGAGCTTCCAGACCCTCTCTTCACCTTCTTCATCAACTCCAGATCATCATCGTCGTGGAAAGGAGGGACGCCCGCAAGCATCACGAAGAGCACCACCTCAAGTCAAAATGGGTCACTTCAAACCGCATGGCTTGTGGCGTGCATTATAGGCAGATGGTGGCACATGCCTTTAGCGGATCCCAGGCCTCTGGATGACTGTGGTCTACTGGGGGACTTCAGAAGGCGAGATCTGCTCGTGCAAGGTCTGAGTCCGCGACCCCAGCAGACCACACATCCACCTTCTCCGTGTAGGGCTCCATTTCTGGGGCCGTCACAAAGTTCGTCGCACGGGCCATGGTCAGCTCATGAACAACGATCAGAAGCAAAACTTGCGGTGTTTCATTCTCGTTGATCGGCCTGGGGAACAACCGACATTTATGGTACAAGGGTCAAAATAACGCAAAGCAACAGAGATGTGAACAAACGAGGAGAAACGCAGGATGCGCATGAAGCCAAATTGAATACCCCAAAGGCTATCATCGATCCTTCTTCACTGATCTAGATTTTGCCTTGCTTGGCCAAACGAGCTTGTCCAAGAAGAAAAGAACAGAATCAAACCAGCTACGATGGTTTGAACAGCTCGAACCTTTCGCGGGTCTCTGTGAGAGAGACTTCGACTTCTCTCACATTGCAGAATAGACTTGGACACACGGAGTCCAGGCTGCCCTGCTCTTCTTGAGGACCTCTGGGGCCACGTAGTGCACGGTGCACACCTGAAGAAATATGTCGAGGTCGATGTGCTTGATGACTAGCATGTGTGATATCGGCAACTTGGAGATCTCTCCACTTCCCTGTCATCTGACACCGGGTTCAGTGCAACAAACCAGAGAATCCACAGGGCGTTCCACAGGTTCGTGAAAGGGGGCTGTGACGTGTGACCCGTGACTGGTTGGCACTTCGAATCTGAAATCGGAAAGAACCCCGCGGGCGGCTCCTTCAACCGGCCTCAACCAGCCGACCACCGGCTCCCCACTTCCGCAACCGGCCTTGGTGGTCAAGGGCCCCAAGTCGAAGCGTTTGGCCGTGCCGAAGTCGATCAGTTTGACTCGGCTGTCCTGGTCGGGTGCTTGGGCTGCGTTTCTCCGTGTGCTGTGGGAGTCATCACGCGCTCAATATATAATCTCAATAGGTTTGCAGTCTGCAGTTTGCTTATCATAAGCCTAGTGAATCAGCTGTACACTGTCTGTGTATTTCTGTATTCTGATCTTTTAGGTTGGTTTCTGGGCAGGAGCAAGACAAGCACTAGCCAGCTACAGTAAATACCCGCCCGAAGAAATGAAGCGGTTTTGGGCATTGCGAGTTGAGTGTGTGTTTGTGTGTCCATTTCATCGCAACAGGATGGTGCAGTCTTTGAGACATGTTGATGCCCAGCCCTCGCCTCGGATCGTTGAAGTTTCTCCCGAAAAGCTGCTTTTCCCCAAACAGGTTGGTCAAATGTCACCAGGCTCCATCTCGCACCTCCCTTCAGTGTCCTGGATGGCACACTTCTTGGAGATGAGAAAGTTCTCCGGCTTCAAATCTCGGTGGCAAATCCTCAGCGAGTCAATGGGAGGTTGAAGAGGTATTTTGGCGAGGCCCACACTGCTGACGAAACAGCCAACAAAATCCACAAATGCTTTTAAAGGCTGTGAGATTCTGTCAGACATTCTTTCACAAGACCCCCATGTTATGGCTTACAACTGATTGAGTTTCAAGCTATTTTTTAAATGCTTTTCTTATCTGCATCACAACTTATCTATCTATGCCATTGACCCCACAACAAACTCTAGAAAGTGCGGACAACCACTGGAGCACTGGAGCCCTTCAGTGGCTTCCTTTCAGCCGATCTTCAGCGGCTTTGCGGCAATTTGAGAGGTCCATATCCATCATGATCATCATGACACTTATTCATTTCCAGTGGGCCTACCTTTCAAAGCCTGGGCTGGAAATGATTGGAAAGCACATGTCGGTGCAAGCCGAGGTACATGTTCATGTGGATGTAGGACACCGCACTCCTGCAGGGGAATGCTCTGAACAGAATCAATCATGCAATATCATACAAGCTTGAGATGAATGAGAATGGCACACCTTGATTGGCTTTGCCAGCTTCCATTATATAGTCATGCTTCCAAACTCTTCCAAGTTCTTCACAAGCTGTGCAAATCTTGGGGGCCAAAAGTTTGTCATTGGGATCGGCTATCGAGACGGAACAACGAATGGATCAACGACGTCCACTCGCGCCACCCCCTCTCATGATCTGCTTAAAGAGAAGCGCGGCCGTCTGCTCATGGAGGGTTCCAGCCTCATGGTGAAACACAGCACCAGTCTGTGCAAACTCCTGAAGCCCAACTAACTCCAATAATGCAATCAGCAAATAGAGCGCTTTCAACCAATGAAGATGTCCAACGGTGTGCGAGTCCTTTGGATCTTATATTTTGCTGGGCACTCGGCCGCAATCATGGCATTGAAGAGCTCGCCGCCCTCGCAAAGCTCTGAGGCGATGAAAATACACCTCATGGACCAGATCTAAATGTAGTGACTGAAGTGCTAGGCAAGAGCGAGCCTAAGAGATCCCAAGAGTGAAGCTGCAAAAGGGGTTGGAAGATGAAATGAACACTGTGGCAATCACATCAGGTCACGGCTCGACTTTGGGCGGACTAATGACTCTCTATCGCCTTTGACGGAGATCTTACAATGCTCTTGATGTTAAACAAAATGTGTGGAATGACTATGTTCAGCATTGTCCATCGTTGTTCAACATATTTGCTGTATGTTTTAGTCATTTTTAGTCTCACCTGGTAGAATTCAAGGAATCCTCAGACCATTGACCACATCTAAATGAACCATTAAACAAACGAAAGGTATGAGCCGGCACTGAGCGCAGCACAGGTCGTCCTCGAAAGTGTAGTAGAGCCGCATGATGTGAGGCTTAGCGATGGAGTCTTCACTCCAACACCAAGGAAGAACTGGTGCAATTTTCTTGAAAGGCTCGGTGATGTTCCCACACAAACCATGAAGTGACTCACCCGACTCCATTGTTGAGGTTGGAGCTGCCATGAGGGCATGAGGGCAGCACTGCAAACAGTCTATCCTCTTACACTTGACAAAGGATGAAGGGTGCAGTCGCGGTACGTACATACAGTAGGTTCTTTATGCGAGAAGTGAATAGACCCTCAACCCCTTGGTTGGTGGCATTCAATTTGGCAACTGCTTGGAGTCCCCACATGGTCCAGCTGCTTCATGATTTCAATCTCCGCCTCACTCGACCAAAGGATGACACGTGGGAAAGCATGGATGCTGGTTAACCAACCTTCGTGAATCACAGAGCTGGTCCGTTGGATTCTCTTAAAAGAAAAGTGTTCGAGATATCCAGCATGTGAATGTGCATTTCTTCAAGCTTCGCAAGGCAAAGGTTCTCTCACACCCGGATGTCTCTTCTGATCATATACTTTGGACTCATTGACATAGGTTGAGCCAAAACAGTCAGCTCTGAGAGAGTTCCACGCAGCGATGCATCAATCGCAACCGAATCGGGAGAATGAGACCACCAACATCCACAGTAACTAACGGTCACATCAAAGTAATTCCAAATGTTACTAGTAGTAACAAGTGCCTCGCTTCTAGTAACAAGTGCCTTACTAGTAGTAACAATGTTTGCTATTTAAATTTGATTCTATAATAGCTTCTTGTTACTACTAGTAACTAACGGTCACATCAAAGCAATTCAACTAAACAAACACAACATAATACAACCCCATTCCAAATGAGCCCGAATGCCATGCTCGCTGGGCGTCTGGCCCAAAGCTCTTCGCTGGGGATCAGCTTCTTGGGACAGCTCTTCACCTAAGTCCACGACATCTCAACGTGAACTTGATGTCTCAGCCAAACAAATATCATCCCCTCATTATGGTGCCCTTCAAAATGAAGTCCTCACAAATCAAAGCCCGTCCTGAGCATGCCTGAACCAGCAAGGACGCTACTAGGGGCTCCTGGCCTTGCTACTAGGAGCAAGGACGCTACGAACGGAGCAAGAAGCTACTATGGCCACAAGCACTTCAGATTTCCTTGGAGCCACACGGCATGAGTCTGCCCGGTCCTCAGCAGCGTTAGCGCAAGTGCATTGCACAGGGTGTGAAGGGTGGTGATTGCCTATTTACAGCAGATTTGGGTCGAGTCTAGTACCTCAACCGTGAAGTACGGCTCGGCAAGAATTCTTGCTCAGCTCTACTGAAGGACAAGCAGTCTCAAGCTGCAAAAGGGCCCTGGCTGTGTATGGTGGGCCTTCCACACTGTGCCGAAGGTCCCAGAGCCAATTTGCTCGCGCATCTCATACATCTGCGAAACAGGTGTCTTGCAAACTCGGTTTTAACTGCAAGTGGCGGTGCTGTCCATGCAAATCACCATGTACAATCGATTATTCAAGTAGTAGAGTGAATGGATGCAAACTGGACTGTAACATCGATTGAGCTAGTCTCCCCCCTTCCAACAAGTGGAGCAGAGGTTTGAGAACACCAAATGACTGTCACCGAATGGCGGAGTCTGTAGAGGCTAAATTAATAGCTTCTTGTTACTACTAGTAAGGCACTTGTTCCTAGAAGCGATGCACTTGTTACTACTAGCTTCTTGTTAAATTGAAAGCGATCATCTGCCGGGCCCATGCCTGGCTTGGATGACCCTCCACATGCTTGCAGAAAATAATGGGCGGTCGGACGACCTAGCGTTGGTCGTCAGCATGCTCAACACATTGTAATGGGTGCATACTGGGACAGTAATACAGTAAGTCCTTTGTTAGAGTCCTTTGTTAGATGCCAGGAAAGGTAGCACGTAGGGTCCTAAGCCTAATTACAGTATCGGTATGCCGCCCACCAAACAAAAGCATGCCGGTGGAATCTAGTTGGCAAAGAGAAATAGTGAGAAATGTATTTTACCACCTCTATGCTTGTTTTGAGAGCACGACGACCACAACGAGAGGAGATCACAAAAAAAGAACGAACCGGCTCGTCTCGCATGCACTGCACATGCACTGAAATCCTGGAGGTGTCTCCAAATGGGCTGCCCGGACA